TTGGAGAACTGGTGTTAGAAAAGGTAACATAAATTTGGCATCAGAAGGAAAGATATCACACACATTTAGTGTTAGAAATGCTATAAGCAAAAATATTCACCTCCATCATTAATGATTGCTTTACTATGAATAAATTAAATTCCTCAACCAAAAGACACAAGAGTGATTGAACAGATGAAAAATCAAGATCCAAATATGTGTTTCTACAAGAGACTCAGGTTTACAAATAAGAACAGATACAGTCTGAGTTAAGTAATGCAACAAAATATTCCATGCAAGTTATAACCAAAATACAGCATGGGTGGCTAAATATATATCAACCAAAATAGATTTTGAGTCAAAAGGTATTACCAGAGATAAAACTTGAATAACATCAAAGAATAATAAAAGTGTCCATTCACCAGTAAGATACGATAATTATAAAAATAAATGTACTAACATCAGAGAACCTAAATATATAAAGCAAACATTGACACAACTGAAGCAATTCAATATAGTAGGATATTTCAATGCCCAACTTCCAAAACTGGATAGAACCATCACCACAGAAAATCAAAAAAGAAACAGTATATTTGAACAACAATGTAGACCAAATTGTATACACAGCAAATTCTACTCAATAGCAGAATACACATTCTTCTCAAACACATATGAAACTTTCTCTAGGACAGATCACATACTAGGTCACAAAACAAGTCATAACAAATTTAAACTCATTAAAAAGTTCTTTTCTGATCACTATGGAATAAACTGGAATTCAACAGGTGAAGGAAAACTGGAAAATTCACAAATATGTAAAAATTAAACACTATGCCTTTTTCTATTTGTTCCTTTGTTTGTTTTTGGTATTGGGGTCTGAATCCAGGGCACCATATATGTAAGGCATGCAGGCATGCACTTTACCACTAAGCTACGTCCCCACTGTTTCTTTTTTTTTTTTCCCCAATTTTATTTTTATTTTGGGAAATTTTGCTAAATTTCCCAAGCAGACCTTGATCTTCTGATCCTCCTGCCTCAGTCTCCTCAGGAATTAGAATTAAAAACATGTGCTGCCACTCCTGGTAATAAAAGGTCTCTGGAATAATTCAGTGCATCAAAGCATACATTGAAAAAGGAATTAGGGCTGGGACTGTAGCTCAGTGACAGAGCACTTGCCTAGCATGTGTGAGGCACTGAGTTCAATCCTCAGCACCACATAAAGATAAACAAATAAAGTAAAGGCATGCTGTCCATCTACAACTACAATTTTTTTTAAAAAAAGAAAGAAAAAGGAATTAGAAAATACCACGAGACAAATGAACATGAGAACACTCCATGTCACAATTTATGGAATAGAACATAATAATTCATGCCCACTCTGAAAATGAAGGAAGATATAAAACAAAAACCAAACTTTATAACTCAAAGAACTACGCAAAGAAACAAAGCCCACCCACCTCATCAAAGAAACAAAATTATAAAGGTTAGAAGATAAATCAATGAAGGAAAGAATAGAAAAATTAATAAAATTTAGTTGGATTTTTGAAAAAAAAAATGAGAAAATTCACACAGTTTTAGTTACACAAGATAAAAGGGAAAACTGAAATAAATAAGACCAGATATGAAAGAAAAGGCATTATAACTGATAACACACAAATTAAAAGGATACTAAGAGACTGTAAGATCAATTAAATGCCAACAAATGTGATGACATAGAAGAAATGCATAAATTTCCACAAAGGTATAACCTATTAATAACAAGTGATGAGGGGCTGGGGTTGTGGCTCAGTGGTAGAGCACTTGCCTAGCACACGTGAGGCCCTGGGTTCGAGCCTCAGCACTACATAAAAACAAATAAAGATAAAGGCATTGTGTACAACTAAAAAATAAATATTTTTAAAAAAATAACAAGTGATGAAGAAAGAGGCAATCTCAATAGATCTGTAACTAGAATAGTAAGAATCCTGAAATGATGATTAAAATATCCCACCAAAGAAATATTTAAAGAATTGAAGCCAATTCTTCTCAAACTCTTTTAAAAACATAGAAGAGAACATTTCCAAACTCATGCAGAGACCAGCAACACCCCTACAACCAAAATTATAGATGATTTACAAAGCAAAACCACAAAATAATACTTCTGATGAACACAGAAAAAAATATACAACAAAATATAAGAGAACTGAATTCAACAACATGATTAAAGGAATAACACATTATGACTAAGTGGGATTTACTCTTGGGATGTAAGGGTGGGCCAATATATGAAAATAAATTAATGTAATAGACTAAATAAATAGAACAAAGGATTTAAAAAATCACTTGATTATTTCAATTGATGCACAGAAGGCATTTGAGAAAAGTCAACACCATTTCATGCTAAAAACTCCAACAATTAAGAATAGAAGGATATAACCTCAACATAATAAAAGTCATATGTAGAAAACCTACAGCTAATATGCTCAATGGTAAAAAATAAAAATAAAAGTTTTTCCTTGAAGAATAAAGCAAGAATGCCCTACCATTTATAGTCAACATCTTAATAAAAACCAGAGTCAACAATTAGGCAAGATAAAGAAACAAAAAGCACCTGAATTGGAAAGGAAGAGTTAAAGTTATCACTTTTTGCAGGTGACACCTTAGAAAAGATACTAAATATTTAAAAAATTGTAATTAGGTCTGAGGTTGTGGCTCAGTGGTAGAGCACTTGCCTAGCATGTATGAGGCACTGGATTCTCAGCACGAAAGGAAGAAAGGAAGAAAGGAAGGAAGGAAGAAAGAAAGGCTCATCAATAATAAAAATATTTTAAAAAACTATAATTAATGAGAAAAAGTAATGAAGTTGTAGGATAAAAAATATCAACACAAAAAAACAAATCTGTTGTGTTTCTGTGTTAGTCAGCTTTCTGACTAAGTGTGACAGAATACCAATCAACTCATAAGAAGGGAAGATTTATTTTGGCTCACAGTTTCAGAGATTTCAGTCTATGGGTTGTTTGACTCTGCTGCTTTGGGCCTATTGTGAGAAAGTATATCATGGTGAAAGCATATGACCAAGGAGGCCTATTCACCTCATGGCAGCTAGGAAGCAAAGAGAGCAAAAAGAAGAAGCTGGAGTCCTAATGCTCCCTCAAGGCTCATGTGTTACAAGCCTGGTTCTCTCTATGGTCCAGTGACCATAGAATGAAACCTATGAAACTATGAGCCAAAATAAACCTTTCTTCCTTATAAATTGATAATCACAAGTATATTGTCACAGTGACAGAAAGCTGACAAACAGAGAAATTAAGAAAGCACTCTCATTTACAGTACCATCAAGAAGAATAAAACACTGAGGATAAACTTAACTAAGCAGGTAAGAAAACATGAAAACTTGGAGTATATAGAAAACTCCAAAACAAAGATAAAATAAATAAGACAGAGAAACATGTCATGTTCATGAACGGTACAATAGTACTGTTAAAATGGCAATACTATACAAAGTAATATACAGAGTCAATCCATTCATTACCAAAATCCCTATGGCATTTTTATTGAAATAGAAAATAGCCCTAAATTTCATATAGAACCATAGAAGATCCTATATAGCCAAAGCAATCTTGAGGAAAAAAAGAAGAGAGCTGGAGACATCATATATTTTGTTTTCAATATATATTTTAAAGTTACAGTAATTGAAAGATAATGGTATGAGCATGAAGATAAACATATCAACATAAGAAACAGAATAAAAACCAAAAATAAATCCACACATATACAGGCAACCGATGTTCCACAAGAGTGCCCAGAATATATCACAGGGAAAGGATGGTCTCTGCAATAATTGGTGCGGGGAAAACTGTATATTGGACTCTGTTGGGCACCATAAGCAAAACTCTACTCAAAATAGATTAAAGGCACAGTAAATGTAAGACCAAGAACTGCAAAACCATAAGACAAAACAGGGGAAAGCTTTATGACATGGCCTTGGCAATTATTTCTTGGTTATGACACTAGAAATACAATAATATAAGCAAAAATAGACAAGTGGGAGTACCTCAAACTAAAAACAGTACTGTAGAACAAAGGAAACAACCAGGAGTGAAAAGGTAACCTGTGGAGGAAAAGGTTTACCCACCGTATATCTGACAAATGATTAACTTCCAAAACATACAAGGAACTCCAGAAACTCAACAGCAAAACAAGTATGTTGGTGGGAATATAAAATGATGCAGTCACTAGGGAAAGTCAAGTGGAGGTTCCTCAAAAGGTGAAGACTACAACTACCAAATGATCCAGCAATCCCATTTCTGGGTATTTATTTGAAAGATTTGAAATGAAGATCTCAAAAATATTTTTCACTCCCATGTTTACTATACCATTATTCACAATAGCCCAAATGTAGAAACAATATAAACATCCGTCAGAGGATGAGTGGATATAGAAAACACACACAAAGTGGAATATTATTCAACTTTTAAAAGGAAATCCTGCATATGCAGCAATATATATATATATATATATATATATATATATATATATAGATGAACCAGGAGAACATTATGCTAAGAGAAATAAGCCATTTGCAGAAGGACATATACTGCATGATTCCACTTAAATGGGATATATAAAACAGTCAAACTCAGAGAAGCAGAGAATATAATGGTAGTTACCAGGGAATAAGAGCAGAGGAAAATGGGGATTTGCCACATAACTCATGTAAGTTTCAGTTAAGGAAGATAAATAAATTCTAGCGATCTGCCTATAGTTAATACGTTATTGCACACTTAAGAATTTCTTAAGAAAGTGGATCTCATGTTAAGTATTCTTATTACCACAAAAAGTGTATTAAAAACTGTTACATAATCTCATTTCATTATTTTGTAACATTATGTATCCATTTCATATATATAGAAAAATTATATCAAACATAAACAAAAAATATGTATGATTTGTACCTTTAGAAGAAATATATTTTAAAACGGAATCAACAAAACAAATTGCACCTCTTTTCTCTACTAAAGCACACATTTGGACTTTCTTACCATGATGAGTATCTCTGGTTTGTGTTTCTTGGACAAATCAATGATATCCACTCCATTATAAAAGAGATTTTCAAAACACCCATTGAAGCTTTTATGTGGGAACACCACTGATTTTCCAAGTCCAGGAATCCCTCCAAAGCTGATCTTAGAAAGAATAAAATGATATAAATAATATTATTTAATTATTTTCTGATTATCTGCTCAAAACATTAATGATCTACAAATACAATTGTCTTCAAATTTGCTTTGTATATTATATTGTCATATTAATTACAAATAAAATTTTAAAATGCAGATTTATCATTGTCTTTATTATAGAGAGACTCAATTCTCTAGTCATATGATTCTTGTCATCATTTTTAGATGAGAATTTTGTATCTTTATTTCCATGATGATCGGTGTAACAACTTATCCCAGTGTATCATCCCTAAAGAAAAGGGGAAGAGTAAAACTGCATGTTACTGAATGCCCCCTTTCTGTTCCCAAAATCCTTGCCAAGTTAAGGGAACCCTGAGAGCAAGCCTGGGCTGGAAAGTCCAGTTATATATTATCTTAAAGGAACTGGGCTTTCTCTTACACAAAATGGGAAGTAGGGCTACTAAGTGCTACTGTAGACAGCTATTTTCTTACATGTACACCCAGACAGTACTCCTTAGGATGCTGGTTAGACATGCTAACTAATCAGCTAATGCTGATGAATGCACTGCTTCTGTAGTCTAAGATATAAAACCCCTCTCTGAGTAGGGATCAGCACAGATTGAGCATACTGTGGAAAGAAGAATATGTGTTAATAGTCCAGCCACCACCACTGGACAAAGTGCCATGAGGAACAGAGGCACCAGTTGTCAAAGCACCATGAAAGGCAAAAGTGCTATCTGCAGTCCTGTCAACACTGAACTCTTTTTGGAGGTAGCAGTGATCTGTTGTGAGAGTTTCCCAATAAATCACATGTCTTTCATGCTGTCTCTGGGCACTTTCTTTGGCTTTCCCACAACCTACCCCACTGTGCCCTGGTACAATTGGGGCTGTGGACATGACACCTACTATGAAGGCATTTGACTTTGCCAACCTTTATAGTAGCCAAGATTTTAGGGCGCTGGCCTTTTCCATATCATTTTTAGGTTGGAAAAGTCTATTCATTGATAATCTTCTTCAAGAGCAGGATCTTCCATTGATCTCCACCACTGAGGTCAAATGAATGTCAATATTTTCTGGTTTTCTTGTTCTATCTGATACATGTGCTGAGCAGAATCAGCAGAACAAATCAAATGCTGCATTTCAGTGTGGAGTAGATGTATGTGGGCAATACACTGCTAACATTGTTAAGGCTTCAGAAATACTAAGAAACATTTATTTTGATTTGTCTGCATTTGTCTCTCATTAATACATCAATATACTTGTTGACTGTTTCTCCAGGTTATACCAGGTCACTAATTCTGTTTACTACTATCCTATAAGCAAAAGAAATTTCCAGGGCTCACATTCAAAAACACCAGATATAATACAGAAGACTTATCTGAAAGAATGCCTTAAAATATTGTTTTTTTTGTATTTATTTATAGCTTTTCATCCAAAAACATCCTAACTTCCTGGCATGAGTGCTTATTCTCATCTGAGGACTAACATTCATAAGGATAAAATGTCTCAATAGTGTATATTTGTGCCATCATGCGCCGAATTACAATTACGTTCAATGATGGCCCTCACATTTGTGGGCATCCCATAAGAATATGTTGCCTGGTGATTCCATAGTTATATAGGTTGGTGTAAGTACACTCTAAAATGTTCACACTACAATTAAATCACCTAATGATGCATTTCTCAGAATGCACCTTGTTGTTAAGCAGTGTTCAACCTACTGTGTGATAATAATCCATAGGAAATAATTCACTAGATTCTGAATTCCTAGGAAAGAGTATGTATTCAATGTAGCAGTTCTTTCTCTAGAGGGTTATATTTCATTTAAGTGCAAAATCTATAATGTCCACACCTTATAATCAAAATCTAAAAGGCTGGCCTCTCCCTCTGCCTGGAAACGGTGAGTATGTTTGTCCACTGTGAAACTGATGTGTGTGTTGAGGACCTCAATGAGGACAGAATGCCAGTGTTGGTCATCCAGCAGACTGCCCAAGGTGAGGGTCACCTGGGCATCTAGGGAGGGCAGGTTAGCACCACCTGAGAAGAGAGTAAAAGTCAATGTAGTATTATTCCACCCATTCAATACTATGGTTTCTACTGGGAGATTTGACACAGCAATTACTCTTTCCTTATATCCTCCTATCCAAAAAGCTAGTTAGATAGTTTAATGTTAATCCTAAACACAATATAGTTTTGACCTTTGAGCAATTTCTTCTCTTATTTGTTGTTCTTTGTATTTGCTTTTCTGATTCAATAAAAAGTAAGGATCAGGGAATCTCCCTGTATATTTCACATTCATTCACTGTTTCTGATGACATTTTCACTTAATGTAAAAATATTTTCTTCTTAGAAAAGAAGAAAAGTAATGCTACTACCTCAAAATTTTACAATCATCCATTCATCTTTATGATATTATCAGGTTATTTATTGGACAGCTGATGATGGCTCTATACAATTATCAAACTATAATACTGTTTACATAAATACATGGTTAAGACAGACATGTAGCCCCTAAGATGCCACAACTGTAGGATGAACATGTTCCCCTTGCTTAGACAGCTCTTGTTTGTACCAATCACTCCAAGGAATTATTTATAAGACCTTCTTTCATTCTTAAATGGATTGGTTTCAGTTTAAATTAACTGCTTAAGAAAAAAAAATAAGTATAAAAAGCATTTTTCATCTAAGTAATCACATTTTTAAAAGCAATTCCTTGTCCTTTTACCTGAATTAAAGAACAAGATGAGTTTTCCTTTAACTAATTCCAGGGTGATATGTTTGCCATTTTGTCCTTCTCTGTGGAGTAGAATCCCATCACTCTGCCTGGTTTTAAATTTCAAAGTAATGATCTCCTTCATTGAACTGATGGATTTCTGATTAATTGTGTACAATAAGAAACTTTTTCCATCAAAATTAACCATCTCAGATCCTACAATGGAAAACATCAAAAAGTGATTCTAGATATATTTTCATTACTGCATTGAAATATATAAGTCAACACACATGTACATATGTAGTCTATTTCTGGTTTGCTTAACATAGGTGGAAATACCCACTGCCAACTTCCTCTTGATACTAGAGTTAACACACATCATCTCTCTGTTTGCTTTTTCTGACTTTTTTTGTTTTAAGACAGTATCATCTAGAAGTATTTGTGTTCCTCTCCTTCCAATTGCACCTATCTTTGTATTTGCTTTTCTGATTCAATAAAAAGTAAGGGTGAGGGAACAAGCTGAAGTTAATCCCCCTTGCACAAAATCTCCCTGTATATTTCACATTCATTCAATGTGAAATTGACACTACTGGTGTTTGGAAAGGATAAAACTGTTATCACATACTGGTAAAAGGTGTCAGTGTAAATAGCTTTATTGTTTGTGACCCAGTAGTTTAGACATTTAACAGTTCTCACTTTAATATACTTGTGTCCAGTCATAAGAGTCATGCATGCACATCCCAGATTCACTAAGTACCATTTTAAACTCATCTGAAGGGCACGCTAATACAAGCTGTACTTTTTCTCAATGTTGTGGCTGAGTCAAATCACAAAAGGCACACCTATTTTATGATGCACCTCAATAACTAAGAAGGTCATTCCATTGGGATGCCACCATTTTTCTCTGAACTTACTGACAATATCTTACTTTTTTGGTATCAACACTACTTTTATCAGTTTGTGCCAAAAAGTTACATGTTATCATTCATATACAGGGGTTGGGTGAAACTCATTGTAAGTGATTGCCTAGCATGTATAAGGCCCTGGGGTTTGATTCCAATCACAACACATGCACACAGACACATCATCAGTCAAAAACAATTGCAAAGAGAACAGTACAAAGGAGTTCATACAGTATGGCACCATGGTGCTGGCCTATAATCCCAGGGACATAGGACACTGAGGATGGAGGATTTCAAGTTTGAAATTGAGAAATTTAATGAGACCCTGTCTCAAAATGAAAAATAAAAGCAAAAAAAAAAAAAAAGAGCTTGGAATGTAGCTCAGTGGTAGAGCACACTGGGTTTAATCACTAGTATTGAAACAATGATTGATTGATTAATTAATTAATTATTAATTTTTAAAAAGGAATTCATATTGCCTAGAAAAAAATCTCCTCTTGCATTTTTCATACATAACTGTCTTTTAAAAATACATGTGTACTAAATGAAGACAAAGCAAATAATAAAAGACCTTCGTGTCTTTCAAACCAATGTTAGTTATTTACTTTCACAGAAAGTTGTGGCCAATGTACACATGGACATACATTTAATTCAGACTAAAATATTTTTATTATGTGTAGCGTCCTTTTTAAAATTTGGAAGTTCAATTCACATGTATAGTGTGTAATATATAAACACTACATTGTCTAGAAATCATGTAAACTAAATAATTACTCTTCATTTTATAATTAAACAAACATGCCTGGTAAGAATATAACTAGTCAAGTTCAAATGAAGCTCTCAAGCTTATTAGATGGCAATGAAATAATGAAATCGTGGTAATGAAGAATTGAAATGATTTCACATTTTAGCAGTACATATTCCTATGTATGTCACTGACAGCATTAAAAATAACTAAGGCTTGCTTTTGCAGTTAGCCAACAAGGAATTTTGTTCTGCACATGATTTTGCCAAGATTATTTTGGTCAAAAAGATTTTACCCTCATCCTCCCTGTTGCCACAATGGTTTTGCAATAGTTAAATTATTATTAAAGCATCAGAATCTTCTGGAGTGTTTGTTGCACACAGATTGCTGAGACATAGCCCTGAGTTTCTGAGTGAACAGGTCTGAGGTAGAATCTAAGAATCTGCATTTCAAACAAATTCCCTCCTGTTGTCCATGTGCTTGAGCTGGTGACCATACTTTGAGATCCACAGCTTTAAACCACCTAAATTATATTTCTTGGAGATTCTTCTCAGGCAAAATGGACTAGTAAAAATTTTACTGGGTAACCATGACACAAAATAATGGCCTTAAAACCCTTTTGTCCTAATGCTTTGAGTTATGTTCTAACACTTTGTCTAGAATAGTTAACCATATATTAATCACCAAAATATATCTTATAAGAAAAATCCAAAATGTACATTGACAGATTTTTAAAAGCTTATTGGATGACCAAATTAGAATATAGATCTATAGCTAAGTGAGTATAACAGCCCTAGTAGTTCAAAATCATCAAGGATATAAACTTAACCTCAACTTTAGGGGTTTAAAATGATAGACAAAATTTAGGAACTGCTTTTTGAAGTCTAGAATATTAGGATCTCTCACTCTTTATCTGTATATTTGCATAACTCTCAAGCCCATTACCGTACAGACCCCTGAGCTAATTTGTAAAGGGTTGTTAAACATAAAATCAACAACAACAAAAATGCAGCAGAGAGCACACATGGCCTGCATGGCCTGAAATACTGAGCATCTAGCCCTTTCCAGAAGTTCCTCACTCTGACTCTACAGAAGTATCCTATGATGGTTACTGGGCTGGTGCTCACTGTTCAGAGGTGGCAGTGATAAGAATCAGCTCATAACCAGACATTCTGGCATCCAATTTTTATTTCACTGAAAACCCCATTATGTTTAGGACCTCACAAATTATTTTTGTTGACATCCATAGTACACAATTCAATATACTCCGTTTATGACTATGGTTAGAATGGTAAAGAACTGGTCAATATTTTAGCACCTGGTTATGTATTTCTGTGTATAATATAAAACATTGGCCTTGATATAAATAGGCTTCTATAGATTGAAATTCTTCTTTGAAGGATATTCACAATTTTGTTCTATTATTAAAACTCCATCTTTTCCATCTTATGTCATTTTGACTTAATTCCATTCATTCCAAAAGTATGGCCCATTGGATTAATACTGATGTAGCACCTAGCTTGTGTCACCACTCACTGTGCTGGATGCTGGGACAAGCAGGGGCCAGGACAGGTCTGGTTCTAGCCTCTCCAAGCAACAATCCTCTTATTCTCTGGTACTTTCTTACTTATATTGTCATGAAGAAATACAATTCATAGGGAAAATCTTCAAGTCTTACAGGGTTGCTAAGGAAACTACAGAAGTAAAGAAACAGCTTATAGCTCAAAATAAAAGCAGGAGAAAAAAGGCTCTCCTTTGGTGACAATGTCCAGAAACAAAGAATACAAAGAATTAAGGAATCTTGATGAACTGCCAATCATGCACCCTTCACATTAAATTTGCAGATACACATCAGAAAGTAGTCAGCCATGACTTTACATTTATAATAAAAGAAAACACATTATCACAACAGATAATTTAAAATATAAATAGAACCTCTATTATAGGCCTCACCAAAAGTAATCATTCTGATAAAATATTATCTACCTAACAATGTTCACAAATAGATTTGAATATTTAAACAAATCAGAGTGTCAGTAAATATAATTTTTCAAAATCAGCATTAAATACTCAAAGTGAATTTGTAAAAGCAATAAATTTAAAATAAATGTAAAGTTTAAAAAACATTTTGGGAGACAAAGCATTTCATCAATAAGTCAATAGTAGCAATTTCTCTGAAAGCATTGATGGGGGAGCTCCGCCAGGCGTAAGTATTACCTTCCCTGACCCTTGTGCCACTGATCTCAGTGTTACCTAGAGAATTAAATTACCTAAGATGCTCTTTTTTGTATCATTCCACTGTTATAAGATTTTTGCTGTTTAACTATTAAATAAATAAAACTTTACATATCCATGATGAATACAAATAATCCATTACAATATGTGGATGAAATATCCAAAGAATACATCAAATTTCAACTTGGCATTCCATTTAAAATGGCTTTTACAAGAGTCTTCATAAAAGTGTCTCTGTATATAATCCAACTATTTCAATCATTGAGGTATTTGAAAAGAGAAGATACATATCATGCACACAAGGTAGGAAGTGATAGTTTCCCCAGTTATAAGACTACAAACTTATATTCCAAAAACAGTAGGAGGAAATACTTATGATTTCACTTTATCATCAATAACTTCCTTAATAGATTAATTTTTTATGTTTCAGTCTCTAACAGACTATGGTTGGAATATATATTAATATGGCAAAGAATGGTCAATATTTTATCAACTGGCTATGTATATATGTGCATGCCATAAAACACTGGTTTTTGTCACCACTCATTATGCTGGATGCTGGGATAAGGAGGAACCAGGACATCTTCATAGGATACTTCTGTAGAGCAGGAGTGGGGAACTTCTGGAATGGTTCTTACGTAGTAATGTATTAGGTAAAGGCATTAATCTAACCAGTAGTGAGGCTAAATATGTGCTGATACATTTCCACTTTCTTAATCTAGTCCACAAAAAGCCATTCCAAACAATGAAAATGACAAAGTGCAGTGGGCTGTGGAGCTATCCTGAGAAGGTTGGACTCCTGGTTCCACCTTAGAAGACTCACTCAACCTCCTTTGCCTCAGTGTCTTCATTCACAGGGCATAAGAGTCCCCCACAGAACTATCATGAATATTAAACCATTTAATGTCTATGAGTGTGCAAACATGGTAAGTCCTCAGTGGGATTAGTTACATCATTATTGTTGGTGCTCTGGGCAAAGAAAATGAGATTTAACCATAGCTAAAAACTACCTTTAGGACTTTTGCTTTTGACCATGATGGGGGTAACAAGAGAACTTAAATACTTAAATGTTCTTGGAGTATTTAATGCTGATTTTTAACAGGTTTATCCCTCACTTGAAACAACCAAAAATAAGGTCCCTTAAACTTACCTATTCACTAAGTATTCCCTTCCCTGACCCTTGTGCCACTGATCTCAGTGTAAGATACTCTTTTTTGTATCATTCCACTGTTATAAGATTTTTGTAAACCATTGAAACAATGGTTTACAAAACATTTGCTATTAAGCAACAAAGAAGAGTGAAATGTATAAGAAATGAGAGGCAAGAGATAAGC